GGTCATGTTCTGTTATTTCTTCAATATCAAGAGCTACAATACAACATATGATATATGCCATAGCCATTTTATCCTTTATTTATGAAAATGACTTCAATTCAATTTATATTGTTATGACAGCGTCAAAAGTAAATGGTTATGGCGATTCTGTCATAGTTATATTTATATGGCAATTTTGTCACATAATATGGCTATGGAAATTTTTTCACAGTTATATGGCTATGGAAATTTTTTCACAGTTATATGGATATGGCAATTTTTATCAGAGTAATATGGTTATGGCAATTTTGTCACAGTTATATTGTTACGGCAGTTTTTGTCACAGTAATATGGTTATGGTAATTTTGTCACAGTATAATGGTTATGGCACAGTTGTTGTTTGTTTGGCGAAGTTAGTTGCTCGCGAGTTATTATGAAATAAGTAAGAAATGAACGAAATAAACCTGTAGTAACTGTTCCAATATATTCTGCTTTAATACTTTGTTCTGAAACAAAGAACCAGAATAATAATTCCTTGCCAAAATGTCAATCGAAAAAAATCGCAATATATATAACTTTTAATCGAAATTGCAGTGCGTTCAATTTGAAATTCATCGTCGCACTGAATTAATAAACATCGGATTTCGTTGAACAGTTTCTATGAAGCTTGTACACGTTTCCCATTTGGAAAATCGTACGATTTTAAAATTTCAATTAGGTATAGGAATTAATAAACATCGGATTTTGTTGAACAGTTTCTATGAAGCTTGTACACGTTTCCCATTTGGAAAATCGTACGATTTTAAAATTTCAATTAGGTATAGGAATTAATAAACATCGGATTTCGTTGAACAGTTTTTATGAAGCTTGTACACGCTTCTCATTTGGAAAATTGTACGATTTTAAAATTTCAATTAGGTATAATTAGAAGATTATTAGAAGCTATATAAATCTCCTGTAAGATACTAACATCCACTGACGTTTCAAACACCAAAAATCAAACCTTACCTGTTTTTACAACATTGTCTTTATCACCCATTTCAAATCTCGCTTCAGTTCCCATTTCTACTAGCATTTCTAATACCAAAAATTATCATAAAATTATAATAAAAAATTACATCAGATGATACAGGTAGAGATTGTAGAAATACATCAGATGATACAGGTAGAGATTGTAGAAAATACATCAGATGATACAGGTAGAGATTGTAGAAATACATCAGATGATACTGGTAGAGATTGTAAAAAAATACATCAGATTTTACAGGTAGAGATTGTAGAAATACATCAGATGATACAGGTAGAGATTGTAGAAAATACATCAAATGATACAGGTAGAGATTGTAGAAAATACATCAAATGATGCAGGTAGTGCTTGTAGAAATACACCAGATGATACAGGTAGAGATTGTA